AACATTTTTTTATTTGAAAAAAATATATACAATAATCAATATGAAAATAAAATAATAATAATTTTTAAAATCCACACAGGCTCAAGAATGTTGCTATAAAAATATAATTATAATTTATAATATATAAGTATAGAAAATAGAAATAGTAAACATATAATGTATATGTATATTATAAATTATGTGATTATCGACTGAATATTTAAATATAAATAGCGGGTACGAAATCGTGCTTTAACTTATCAACTTAAATAATGTACCTAAATCGGAAAACACAATGTGGCTGGGATACGGCCATACGAGTCTTTACAAAACATAACCGATACCRAAGTTGTTTACTTGTTTATATTTATTTTATTTAGCGTATGGTACTTGTTTATATAAATATATAATATAGTATAATAGTTTATTATTATCACGTAGGTAAAATAGTAAAAATCTCTTCTATTTATAGATTTTTTTTTATCATAATATTATCAGTACAATACTACGATTATTTTATATTATTATCCATATATTAGCCATGGTCGTTAATCATAGTTATGGATGTACTATGACTATTATTATATAATAATGTTATAATATGTAACTTATTAATTAGCCCGATTTCGCCRTATTTGGTATTTYATATCTTATAATTTTTCAAACAAGCAAATTCACAGAATTTAAACGTATCTAATTTTGCGCGATTAATGTAATACACGTTATTTTGTACGTTTTAAAAGATATTGTTATATTATGATCAACAACCCCACACACTRAAGTAAAAATATCGATGAAATATTYATTTAAATCAAAAYARAAGTTAAAATTCAAMATTYTTTTTGAATTCCAGGGAGGGGCAAATACCCCTTCTTGTCCTCCCCYBCGGGTGCCCATGTAATTTTCTTATTACTTAAMTATTTTTATACTTGATACTTTTATTTTTATGTATTTTGATAAAAATACAACTTTTATAAATATATTATTTTGTGTATTGGATTAGAATCTAGAAYCACCTCCTCTAGATCAGATATTTATTATGACATTGAAAGCAGTCATTGAAAACTAAATTAAAATGAATACACCACAAATAAAATATGCATAATCCCTTCTCAAAATCATTAAAATAATCCAGGAAATTTGTTAATTGAATATACATTTTAATGCAGCAATCAATTAATAATACCTAAAGTTTATAAGTAAGCTTAAAATTGTATATAGTTATATTGAATGWTGGTATAAAAATATGATATAAATACCTAACTATTAAGGATAATCGCGGGAGCAGCGAGCGACTTTGTAATACATAAGTATATAACATAGTTGGTTGTAGTTTCTACTCAGTGGCCTCACATAAATGAGGCAGACCCACAGTACTGAAATTCTGGGTACGCCACTGGGGATTGTAAAGTCAACGGTTAGTTTTTATTTTATTTATTTTTTTTTGGAAGCAACTTAATTTATCGAAATAACAGAAAATTACCCACATTTTGATTAAGAATTAAGTCAATAATAATATATTATAAATCATGAAAAAGACGCTTGAACGTAGTAGCATAGCCAGTGTAACAATTATAATACCTATGTTACATGATACCTAAGTATATTATGTATATGTACTACACGTCTACATACTTAACATTATAATATAGGATCAACTAAGTTGTTATTTAACTGTGCACTTYAGACCTCAACGTTCAATGAATATCGAACTCCGTWTAACTACGATACAGTCAAATAGTTGGATAGAATATAATGTATATAGCTTGATTATTATTTGTAAGTGTTTAATATACAATAAAACTTAATGATAACTGAAACGGAATCTTAGTTATTTAAATAAATTTAAGATCCTGTTATATATAAATCTACCCCTGGCTACGGTAATTATATCTAAAGAGTCCTACAACTCTCACGGGATATCTTATATTTAACTGGTCGTTCCCCCAACCACGTTACATAAGGATTTGTTTTAGGAGGGGGCATATAATATATCTTATAAAAGTGAGTCTTAACTAGAATTACTCATAAATTAGGAACATATGCTAATGTTGTGGTT